GAGGTTCACTAGTGCGGGCCAAAACGACAACAAACAGCACCGGTGGACACTGATATGGCACGCAGTAGTGAACCCGACCGCCGTTGAAATTGAGGCAGACATAGAGGGATGTACAGGTTGAGGGATGCATGTCTGTCATCATCGCTGATGTCTAACATGGTCTGTCGTGGTGTGTGGGTGTGTCTCCGGTCGCTGCCGTGGCCGAGCACTAACTATTGCGTCTCCTGTTGACAAGCCGGGGTGTAATGTCTCTCCCCAAGCTGTCGCTATTGCGCCGTGTATGAGGAAACTAAGGTTGACTCCCCATGTTAGAGACGTTGCTAGCACAGCCTCTCTATTGACCAGAACAAACCATCCCTTGCCAACACATGACCATTTTTTTCCCTTATTGCATGATTTCATTATGCTGGTCACTGCGGCATACTGTAGTTCACCATCTGGTGTTGCCCCCTTCATCACAACACGCAGCACTTTGTGCGGATCGGGAAAAGCACGTGCCAACCTCAGAATTGCATGTGCCCACCCTTTTGTCACTTGTCCACCCGCAACCTTCAAATCATAGTATACATAATGTTCCTCGTCTTCCTCSTCGCTGCTGACATCGCTGCCGCTCACTTCTACRTCAGAAGATGATGCCCCCTCWTCCTCTTCTTCATCTTCTTCTTCTGCACTGTTTGTGTACTCTGCACAACAACTTGGCWAATCGGCATCTTCAAATCCACGATCACACTGTTCTTTCTCCATTGTAAAAGCATTGAAGATATCGCAACACACTAGCTGCTCTCTCGTTGCTGTCTGCATGGGAGGCACATCGACTGCCATACTGGTTATTGATTCTTGTGCTACTAATGTTTATCCGTTGTCTGGAATGATTCCTAAATTTGTTTCCGTGACCATCACCTTCCACCCTTCTTCTCTTTCTCTTTGTCTCTCAACATCGCAACTTGCAAGACCGAGCCGCTCGAAAGCAGCTGATAACAATTCCCCCCACAACGGTCTGCCAGATATGATGTTGTCTTCTGTTATTGCTGGCACAAATTATATCAGATCTTGACCCTGSAGTGCAAACTCTGTCACTTCGTGCAACGYCTCATGGATGACGTTCCTGTCGTTGTCACTCTTTTTCATGAAGTCCACAAGTTGATCCAACAGAGTATATTCCACACCATCTACGACAATGACAGRAAAATCTTGAAAGTCTTCTGGCGTTGTTTRTGTAATGTCCTTCATTCTGGACAACACCAATATTTCTGCAGCACCGCTCTTCAACTCGTCCTTCGACCCATCAACCAGCATTCCCCCATTCCGTGCGACAGTGGCCAGCAACTTGCCCAAGTTCGCAGRTGTATATGTCCCCCCTGTCTGCTRCATTGTCATGTCCACRTCTCCTTCTTCGCACATCTCTTCGATGCAGATCCACTGGACCACTCCTTTTAGACTGTATGCACTATGTTCCACATCGTTGTCCACACGTACATGTGGTGACTCTCTGAAGCATTGCAAGAGTGTTCGTGCTTTGACACAGCCCTCGCCATTTGCCACGATTGTGGATCTCATATCCACAGCGACTATGAAGTACCTCGGGACCCTTTCCTGAAGCAAAGACAACTCGCTGTCACTGTTGTAGTGGACGCCCTTCTTTGCATACTTTATTACCTCTGCAAAAGCAGCCTCCACCTGTGCTACTGACATCGACATGATGCGTACAGTTTGTCTTTCGTCCTCTTCTCTCTGACATCGACATCGACATGTGTGTGTGTGTGTGTGTGTGTGTGACGTCTATGTATGGAACTATGTGGATGTTTGTGTGTTTTTGTGTATATGTCTATGGATGTGTGTGTATGAATGGTCTATGCGTGTGTCTGCGTGTCTGTTCCCAAGTTGGCTACTGCGTGTCATTCGAAGTCGCAACGGTAATCATTCGCCAGTTTCTGGCACGCAGTAGCCAACTTTAAGGGTGCATGCCAGAATGCGTGTGTGTGTGTGTGTGTGTRTCTTTCTGTATATGACTGWGTGTGTGTGTGCATTTGTTATGCGTGTTTGCTTGTGCATGTGTTAGCGTGTCCGACTTCAGGTTGGCTACTGCGTGCCATTTGAAGTCACAACGGTAATCATTCGTCAGTTTCTAGCACGCATTAGCCAGCTTTAAGGGTGCATGCCAGAATGTGTGTGTGTGTGTGTGTGTGTGTATGTGTGTGTCTATGTGTGTGTGTATGTGTGTGTGTGTGTGTGTCTGTCCGTCCGTCTGTTTCTCGGTTTGTCTGTCTGTCGCCTTGTCTGGTAATTCAGTCAGTCAGTCAGCCAGTCAGTCAGTCAGTCTGTTTGTTTGTCCGTATGTCTCTCCGTCTGTTTGTCTGTCTGTCTGTCTGTCTGTCTGTCCGTCTGTTTGTATGTCTGTCTGTCTGTCTGTCTGGTCTGTAAGTGGATCAACCAGACACAGTAGGAGACAGACAGATCAGGAGACAGACAGATTAGGAGACAGACAGACAGATTAGGAGACACTGACAGACAAACAGATTAGGAGACACTGACAGACAGACAGACAGACAGACAGACGGACAGACAGACACACACACACACACACACACACACACACACACACACACACACACAGACGGACAGATAAACTTTGATTCTGGTTCATCCACTTACAGAACAGATAGACAGACACACAGACAAACAGACAGACAGACAGACAGACAAACAAACAAAGACACAGAAAGAAAGAAAGAAAGAAAGAAAGAAAGAGAAGGAAAGAAAAAAGAAAAAGAAAAAAAGAAAAAAAAAAAAGAAGAAAGAAACATGTTAGACAAAGAAAGAAAGAAAGAACGAAAGAAACAAAGAAAGAAAGAGACAGANAAAGAAACAAAGAAAGAAAGAGACAGATAGACAGACACACACACACACACACACACACACACACACAGATAGACAGACAGACAGACGGACAGACGGACAGACAGACACACACACACACACACACACACACACACACATGTTGGACCATCAGACAACCTTTCATTCTGGTTCATCCACTTACAGACCAGACAGACAGACATACAGACATACAAACAGACAGACAAACAGACGGAGACACATACAGACAAACAAACAGACATACAAACAGACAGACAAACAGACGGAGACACATACAGACAAACAAACAGACTGACTAACTGACTGGCTGACTGACTAACTGAATTACCAGACAAGGCGACAGACAGACAAACTGAGAAACAGACAGACGGACAGACACACACACACACACACACACACACACACATACACACGCACACACACACACACACACACACAAACACACAGACATGTTGGACCATCAGACATCCTTTCAATCTGGTTCATCCACTTACAGACCAGACAGACATACAAACAAACAGACAAACAGACAGACAGACAGACAAACAGACATACAAACAGACGAAGAGATACGCAGAACCTGGCAAGCCATCCTCCAACATATACTGAATGTCTCGCAGGAGTCCATCTGAGTAGGTCAGATGGAAAGGCGCACCAAGCGGGTCTCTGAATCTCATGGTGACGTCTCCACCATGCTCATATGTCATGGGACATACGTCCGGGACCCAACCAAGAACGGTCGTGCAACCGTGCCTGCGGCGAATGCGAGCCATGTATCCGTTCTCACTGTCGTCGTGCTCTTGGGCCGTACAACTCCCCTCAACCATGGACCACATCCCCTGGTCAGCCATGGAGTCATAACCCGCACACACCATCTGACRCTCCTCCTCCCTTATCTTCTCCCAGCACCGCTTTGCGTGTTCAACCACCAGGACGTGRTCCYTTACATTCACATTGAAAATTGAGACACGTGCCAGAACCACTAGGAACTKCCAATGCTCCACAATGCCTGCATGCATCCATCCCAATGGGAGCCAATGCCCTGATTGCAGTCTTGCTGCCATCGTCACCTTGCCATCAACCATTGCAGGATGCAAACATCCTGGAACCCAATTGACACGATAGCCATACTTTTCAGGGGCCATATGCTGCTGCAACTGTCCTTTAGGGATGACACGGGCCCCAATGTCCATGGAAGACAGAACATCACTCCTCATTGTGACAGGGTCCCATATCTGCAAGCATACTCAATCGTACGTGGCTTCCTGCCCTCTTGCATGTGTGTATGTGCTGCCATCCTCACCAGTGAAAACTTTCCCTTCAACGACCTCCGAGTCCACAGGGTTCCGAAGCGGCGGGAAAAAGCAGCTAGCAGTGTGGGTATTACATGTCATTGCCTTCTTCTCGTCTTCTGAGACCTCCCTCTCGAGGTGACTGAAGGAGAAGTTGCCATTCATATAATGCGTGCTCCAGACATTTCCCATGGCATCACGCATCATCATCCTCACACGGCCACATGGAATCGGGATCACACATGGCACCCAACCCCACCTAGGATCCCTCCTCGCATCGCTCTCGTGGCACGCCGTACTCCCTGTTGCGTCGTTCCCGCCAATCACCCATGTCTTTCCACAATCAAAATTGTCGTACAAAAAATCGTTCAGCCTGAACTCGCCTTGCGCCTCCAGAACACGCCACACGTCCATTGCATATTGTGCTTTCACCTCTGTTGTTGCCCTAACGTTCAACCTTAATAGTCTGTCAAACACGATTGCCAGAGTCACGTTTCGCCATGTATTATTTTTGGGGGCAGGAAATGAAACCCATGTCCCTTCGACTTTGAATGCAAACCAGGGTGCTCCAACAATACCCGGTTGAACACGACCCGGCACCCAATTGATGTCATATGGGTACTCTTCTCCTGCTGATGTCTTCACCATATTTTCATCTCTGACAATACACCCTGTCAGAGATTCCCTGCTTCCCAGATCTCCCTCCTCTCTCTCTTCCCCAACCGTTTCCGTCTCACAAGTGTTCCCTCCTGCATCATTCTCTGTTTCATTACCATCACCCATCATCTTTGCAGTATGTGCACATATTGTCGCAAGCACCTCTGCACAGTGTGCGTTGTTCCCTCGTGCCGAATTCCCTTCCTTGCTGCCATCTGCAAAACCCTTAAGAATGTCCTCCGTCTCCATGGCGCATGTCTCTCCACCGTTGACAGTCGATGCAATCGCGGGTTCCATCTATTGCATGAGACACCACATACATTTATGAGTACACGTAGCTGCGACATGGCCCCCTCACCCGAGAGAGAGAGAGAGAGAGAGAGAGAGAGAGAGAGAGAGANGGTATTCGCACCGACAACGTAGCTGCGACATGGCCCCCTCACCGGAGAGAGAGAGAGAGAGAGAGAGAGAGAGAGAGAGAGAGAGAGAGAGAGAGAGAGAGAGAGAGGTTCACTAGTGCGGGCCAGAAGAACAACAAACAGCACCGGTGGACACTGATATGGCACGCAGTAGTGAACCACTTGTGTGTCGTGAGGCAAAAAGCGGCAAGCATTATGGACATAAATTTACACAGACATACAGAAAGTAATAATGCAGGCAACGCTTAAACACACATCATTGTGTGTGTGTGTGTGTGTGTGTGTGTGTGTGTGTGTGTGTGTGTGTGTGTGTGTGTGTGAGAGAGAGAGAGAGAGAGAGCTACTCTATACTGCGGGCCAGAACTCCAACAAACATCTCATGCGAGACAGACATTGGCCCGCAGTAGTGAACCTCATGCTGTTGGACAGGGAAAGACGCAACGACAGAGAGCGGTTCACTACTGCGGGCTAGAACGACAACAAACAACAGCGGTGGTCACTGATATGGCACGCAGTAGTGAACCACAAGTAGTTGGAAATGCAAAGACGCAGCACCAGCGAGAGGTTCACTACTGCGGGCCAGAACTCCAATAAACATCTCATGCGAGACAGACATTGGCCCGCATAAGTGAACCTTATGTTGTTGGATAGGGAAAGACGCAGTGACAGATGGCGGTTCACTACTGCGGGTCAGAACGACAACAAACAATAGCGGTGGACACTGATATGGCACGCAGTAGTGAACCACAAGTAGGAAACGCAAAGACGCAGCACCAGCGAGAGGTTCACTACTGCGGGCCAGAACTCCAACAAACATCTCATGCGAGACAGACATTGGCCCGCAGTAGTGAACCTTATGCTGTTGGACAGGGAAAAACGCAGCGACAGATGGAAGTTCACTACTGCGGGCCAGAACGACAACAAACAACAGTGATGGACACTGATATGACACGTAGTAGTGAACCATAAGTACGTCAATATGGGAAAAGGCAGCAAACATTATAGACAGAAAAGTGTGGGGAAAAACGTGTTGACCTGCGTTCGTTACGACCTGTACCATTATCTCTTTGATGTATGATATGAGATGGAACAGACAGTCCGCAACCAGCCTCGCCATTTGTCGCGAATTCGCTTTTGCAACGAACTTTTGAAATGTGTCCGTTGTCATAGGCAGCGCAACAGATTCTGCATGAGCACAAGGTGCTTTGTTAGCGACGACACATGGGAAGTTGAGACGAACGTGGTGACAATTCAGTGTGGCAACATCGGTGCACCCCAGCAGGGCATGCGGCGCAGGCGCGTAGTCCCCGACAGTGGTCCCAATTCCTGTGGAGGTTTGCATTGTTGTGTCGATTTCTTCACCTGCCTTTGTCCTTTCACCTTCTGCACTTCCCATGACAACTTCGTTCGCACAAGTCACCGTCATTTCTCCATCCAACAACCTACCTCGTAAGTGTTGCAGGGCATCAATGACGTCCGAGCAACTGTTCAACAAAGACGTCATATAACAAGGAAGGTCGTCCTTACCAATCGCGACACCCTCATCACTGAGACCGTACTTATCTACGGTTTCCTTACAGTGGCGAATACAGTCTGCTGCGAAGGCCAAGAGGTTGACCACAATGCGTGACAAAGCAGTTAACGAACCCGTATTATATTCTTGGCTATCATATGATGCCCACCCCTCCTTCAGCACACACTTCTCAGGGCTGCCACAAGATGCGACATCAAGTCCTCCCACGTATGACGATCCCACGTGTCTTTCTACCTCCTCGCGCAACACCTCCGCCGCCGGTGCCTCGTCCTCCCACGTATGGCGATCGAGACTCGGTATTATCCCTAGGTGTTGGTCGCGTTGGCCCTGCTCTACCGCTCTTCGTACAACGTCTGCGAGTACTGGAACCTGATAGGAAAGGAAGCCATTCACTGATAATTCCACCGAAGTTGGAATGACCCTCCCTCTACTATCTCGGTCGAATCCAGTACGAGACACCACCAATAGCCAAACCCCCGACCTCAATAATATCGACCTCCAGGTCTCGTCTGTCTCCCCTCTGTTAGGTACCAGAGTCAATCTTTCCGGCAACGTGAACTCTACCCAGTCTTTGTCTATAAATTCGGGCTCTTCGTATGCGAATTGCCTCAACGCCACTGGGTACTCTACCTCGCTGCGAGGCATCTAGACCTCCTCAGAAGTCCTGTCCAAAATTCTGGCCCTGTCTATCTCCCCACTTGTCTCAGCTCTCCTTACTTCGTCTCTGACCCTGAAAACGATTCTGCGCAACTGTCTACGTGTGGGAATCGCTCTGTCCCGACAGTAAGTAACCAGGTTAGCTCGGCAGTAGTTGTCCTAAACTGTGTTGCCCTCTGCACTACAGTGAGTAGCCTCTGATGTCTCTCCTCTTCGCCAAAGACTCTTCCCGTGAGGAATCTAGGAACGATCACTGCTCTCACAGATGTAGCTCTAGGGAACTCCCAGTCGTACGCAAAATGCACTGTGTAGAAGGTTACCGAGTCAGCTCCGCTCCTCTCAACAAACTCACTAAACACTCTCGCACCAAATCTACGTGCTAATGACGTCAGGCATAAGAGAGTGTGACATCGACGGGCAGTCTCTATCACTAGATACATCCACTCCTCGCCCAACAGATACAATCTAACGTTCACTTCGGCGCGAAGAGGTTCGCTGGCCCTGTCCCTTCTAGCACACACTCTAGGCTCCGCCTCAATTCTCACCCACAAGAAGACGCCTTCGCGTATTACTAGACCTCGCTGCTCAGACGGTCTATACTTGCTTGATCCTTCCAACGGAAGACTGATGACGTCACAGGAGCCGTTCCGTTCGACTAGATGCACTCGAGACTCCGACTTGATGTAGACCATTCCTAATCAAATTAAAACGGTTTTCTCTCAGTACATCACTCCCTGTGCCACTCTCGGACTGTTGAGTTCACAGACCCCCACGACAGGCCTCCTCTGATCACCCGTGTATCCCTTCAAGGCGTCAACAGGCCTAGAAGAGAGCCTCCCTCAAGCGATCTCTTTCTACCCTCGTGTCAAGAAGGAGGTCGGATCAATGTGCCATCATCGCTGGCCTACCTTCCCTGTCGCGACCTGAGCACGAGCTGGCCAACTCATGTGCTCTAGGGTGGACCGAAGTCACACGYGAATARGGAGGCGGTGTCTCACTCSTGCATCCTCACTCCTATCCATGCCTCTACTCGGCCCTCCTCAGGCATGGTCTCACATCCCGACTCGTGCTGTGAATCAATCCCCCCTGCTATACATCAGAATCGACGAGCCTGTCTAGTCCCAACCCAACTCCTTGCAATCTGGGGCGCTTCTCCCCTCCCCTTTAATACCTTCAAGTCATCCCCTGCTTACGATTCTCCTTCTTAGAATCAATATCAGGGTCGACCAACCAAAGGGTAGGGAAAATCAGAATAACATCCCTCGATCACAAGGAAAGGAAGAGAAAAGAAATGCATGAAAGACGAGAAAAGAGCATGAATCAGCAAAATCACAAAATGCAGAAATCACAATCTCACCAGAGGACGTCGATCATGAGTCGGTGGGGGTGTCGCCTGCCCGCTCGTGCTCGTACTGTCCAATGTCTCCCCTGCGCACTCCGATCACTTGGCCAGCAGACTAGCCCCCTCTCGTCTGCCCTGTTCGAGTCGTATCCCTGTCCTGTTCCTCTCACCTCCCCGCGGTTACAGGCGGACCGAAGTCCTAAGAGGCAGCCTTCCCCGGCAACGGCGCCACTGTCGACCGGTAGATGGGCTCTGCCGGCCTCCAACACAAACCCTACGTCTCGCGCCGCGTCTGTCACCCACGGGAGGGTTGGTCGGGGCTCCTGTAACCTGCACAAGCCACATCAGTACACATCCAAGACAAAGTGTCGCTCCGACTGACTCAAAGCCATGCGATACACGTCTCAAAGAGTAGGCAGGAAAAATAACAATATCAGAGTCTCCATTCAGTCAAGTACAATGGGATGTTGTGCACAGTTCCCGATCTCAGGTGAAGTCCCCCTGTCTATGTGCGTAGGGTCTGTTTGAGTGCCTACGGAACGCATGGATAACCTCCGTCTAACCCTCCCCCTCACGAGGGCTCGCTGATACCTCGTACGCCTGTCCCACGGAATGGTGCTTGAACTCTCTGTGTCAGACGTGTCCTCCCTCGCCCATCGAGGCCATCGCTCAAGCTTGGTCGAGACCATGCCTTGCTAGGATCCCGATCCGACTAGACAATGGTCCAGAGGCCCGTTGGTGGAAGTCCCTCTTCAAAGGCCCTGTTCGCAGTACCTCTTCAAGGGCCCGGTTCGTGAGGGCGCCTCTTTGGACTGGCTCTAAACCGCCATGCAGCCCTCCGGAAACCCGTATCACAAAGTACCCTTTCAAAAAGCCCGGTTCGGAATTGTACCCTTTGGGCRTCCACGAGCTTCAAGTTGACCAACCACTGCCTCAAGACCGTCGTGAGCCACCTAGGAAATCCGAATCACGAAGTACCTGTTCGGAATGCCCAGTTCGGAAATGTGCCCTTTGGGAGTCTTGGACCCTCAAGATGACCGATCACTGTTTCCAAGCTGCCATGAGCCCCTTCGGAAATCCGAATCGCCAGGTGCCTGGTCAGAAAGCCCGATTCAAATCGTGCCTCTTCACGAACATCCCCCTTGGGAAGACCACTGCACGGTCGTACCTCTTGGCGGACGTACCTCTTAGAACACCCACTTCATGGTCGTACTTCTTCGCGAACGTACATCTTAGAAAGCCCACTTCACGGTCGTACCTCTTCGCGGACGTACCTCTTAGGAAGCCCACTTCACGGTCGTACCTCTTCGCGGACGTACCTCTTAGAAAACCCACTTC